GTTCAACAATGAGCAAAATTAAACCATACTGCCCAGGAATCATAAGCTATGCACATTATGCATAGTGTGGAGTAGGAATCTTTTCCATTTTCCCTGTCCATCTCAAAGGAGGTCACCACTTAGAAGCAGTTGCTTTCAAGGTGTTCAATTTCTTAACCTAGGTGGTGGCCACATGGATGTTATGAACACTTTTAAAACTGCACTTGTAAAACTTTTACATACGTTTCTGTACATATATTATATTTCACATTATATGTTTATACAAATCATATTTAATGAAATTATAAAACTAAAACTAACATGGGTGTTATGTGGGAAAGAAATTATTCCATAAGATTTTTTTAAAGTATGGCACCGTTACAGGAATAAAAATAATATCAACTCTCTAGTCGATGAAAGCTATTTCCCATGGGTTAACAACTCTGATATTGCTAGATATGTAAACTGGACTTGAACTTAAAATTAAGTAGACTTGTGATGAATATAAGGGGCAAGTTTTTTAACTGCTACAGAAGGAATTTATAGATAAGCAAGAGAAAAATGCTAGAATGATCCATTTGCTAGTAGATCAGAGTTGGAGTCTTCAGTCTGAATTTATATTAGCTTAATATAGCTATAGCTGATTACACATAGAGATGTTCATATATAGATGCAGAAATTTCTATACTATCTTTGTAAATTTTCTATAACTCTAAAATTACTATAAAATTGGTTTATTAAAAATTTCTTAAGATATTGGCCTTCTATTAATTTACTTATTAAATTTATTTATTAACTGTACATAAAAAGTGGGATTCGTTATGATATATTCATACATATATTATGCTTATAGTTTAGTCAATTCTACTCTTTCACCCCCTTTCCATTCCTCCTCGCTCCCTCTTTGATTCCCTTCTTTGACTCTACAGGGATAAGTGGAGGGAAGAAGAGAGGCAAAAGGGAGATACCAGGGAAAGAAATGGAGCACATTATATTATATGCATGTATGAATACATCACAATGAACCCCACTATCACCTATAACTATAATGCATTAACAAAGCAAAGCAAAGATGCCTTAAGATAAAATCAGTAGACCATTATAGTCAAGAAAGAGAACCCAGATCGAACGTGATGTTGATATGTGAGAGAGGAGCTACTACAAATTTATGTGAAAAGAATACTGAATAATTGATTCTGGGACTACTGACAATCCATGAGAAAATAAAATTAGAATTAAGATTATATTAAATAATTGTCTCCATGCAGTTGGATTAAAATTCCAAATGTATAAAAACCACTTGCCATATACAAAATGTATAACCTAGGGCTGTGGCTGTGGCTCCGTGGTAGGGTGCTTGCCTAGCATGTGTGAGGCACTGAGTTCAAATTACTAGAAGAATATGTATATGATCTTTGGACAGGAAAGGCCTACCTAGGCAAAAGAATTTAAAAAAAACTAAAGACTGACTTGACTACATTAAAATTTCCAACTCTATGAAAGAAATTATACTATCTCAGGGGCAAAAAAGGACAAACATTTGGCCAGAAGAAATGGTGTACCATCTATGAGAACCAAAGAATATGTAAAATAAAAGTGAACAAGTTCTGCCAATAAATTAGAAAATGATAAGCAAACACCAAGATGGTGAAAGAATTTTAATATCTAAATCACTGTTTAGGTCAGCTTTTTTGACGCTGTGACTAAAAAGTCCTGACCAAAACAATTTTAGAAGAGGAAAAGTTTATTGGGAGGCTCATGGTTTCAGAGATCTAGTCCACAGAAGGCTGGTTCCATTCCCTGCAGCTTAAGGTGAGGCAGAACATCATGGTGGAAGAGTGTGGCAGAGTGAAGCGGCTCACATAATGATCAGGAAGGAAAAAGAGAGACAGCTTGCCATATACAAAATATATAACCTAGGGCTCAGTGGTAGGGTGCTTGCCTGGCATGTGTGAGGCACCGAGTTCAATTCTCAGCACCACATATAAATAAATAAAGGCTCATCAACAACTAATAAAATATTTTAAAATATATATATTAAAAAAAACAAAGACATGCCCCCCAAAGACCCACGTCTTCCAGCCACATCCTACCCTGCACCACTTATCACTCAGTTAATCCCTATCAGGGGATTAATTCACTGATTGGATTAAGGCTCTCATAACCAAATCATTTCACCTCTGAATGTTCTTGCATTGTTTTACACTTGAGCCTTTGGGGGATATCTCACATCTAAACCATAAAATCACAGAGGAATGAACAGGTATTTTCATTTGTTAAAATCCTCAATGTCAGTAGTAATGTACCTTTAACAGTTAAAATACTGTTTTTACCATTAGGTGGTAAAAATTATAGAGGCTGAATATTAGCAAGAATGTGGGAGAAAGGAACTTTAATGCACTGTCCATAAATCATTAACTGGTTTAACTCATCTGGAGGACGATTTGATGGTACAATTTGATGGTATCGTTAAATGTGCACATCTTTTCTCCCAAAATATTTACAAAAGAAGCAGAACCAGGGTTTCATTAATAGTAGTATGGTCCACTACTTTGTGACACTGTGAGAAACTATGGACTAGTTCAAAAGAATGAGGTARATATATAGATGTGTACAGGAATAGATACATAGATAAATATACATAAACACACACACTTTTACAGTGACTATACACCATGGAAGTACCTCTCCAAGACATACTGCTTGATACAGAAAATAATTTAACAAGCCATGGCACATAAAAAATCCATGACTTTAAAAAATTCAGAACAATGTATTTACGTACACTCATATCTAATTAATTTTTTGTTAGTTCGTGGTTTTGCTGGTGATGGGGATCAAGTGCAGGGCTTTCTGCATGCTAACATGTGCTCTACCACTGAGCCACATCCAAAAGATGTGTTTAATGCATAGAAAATTCTTGGAAGCTTCTATCAAAATGACGAAGAGACTGAGGAAAAGTAGTTATTACCATGTTGTACTTGTATAATTAATTCTTTCTTCTTAGTGAAATAAGCAGGAAGGGGAAGAGTGAGGAGTGAGTGGTAAAAGTGTTACATCGAAAGCGTCTTCCCAAATAAGTACTGAGAGGTTGGGGCACGCTGTTCCTTGGGTGCTCTTCTGTCAGTTATACTCTGTTCTCCTGGAGACCTGATGAGGGTCAACATCAACCATATTGCTAAGCAACAGGGCTTATGGTAAAAATGACCCCAGATGGCCAAGTGCATCTGGACAAGGAGGACCTATGAGGGAACTACAAACATCTGATGAGAATACCACACTTAAGTGCTCTCTTAAGTGCAGTAACCTTCTGTGCCTGATTCCAACCCTACTGGGACATAGATCAAAAAATACCATAAAACAGAATGTCAATCGGATGGTACGTTAGATACGCACTAAGTGAGATGGCTATGTGTGGAAAAGCTCTTTGTAAATACTAAGTAGTCTGTGCCATTTTTCATGACTGACACCTAAACTGCCTAATAAATCATAAATACACCTTTTTAATCATGTTTTGAGTTATATGTAGGCAAACACACTTTGCATTCAGTTAAAATAACACTTTTTTTGATGAACAGCAGGGCATAAAACACAACTATAGTAAATTTATGGTTCAAATAAATTTTCTCTATAATTCTGAAACTACCACGGAAAGTTTAAATCATTCATTTTTATATAGAAGAACACAAATGTGAGAATATATAACAACTAAAAAGGAAAAAATTCCAAAGGAGCTGTTTTCCAAATTAATATCTTGACAAAGAAATATTTTATATGACTTAACAATCAAAATTTCTTCCTGACAAAAGCTAGTGTAAATCTCATTGGGGGGGGGGATTCTTAATAGATAAAGATGAGACAAAACTTTCCAAACTGTAAGTATGGAAATGCCAGAAAATAGCAAAGAATGATATCTGCAAACTGTGCAAATAAAAATGCCAGTGTAACATAATAACAACACAAAATTACATTTGTAACTCAGCTGTTTCTGAAGATAAAGAGCAAATGATTGGAATGGTATAGGCTGAAATAGCTATGTCAGCTGGTTGGAAAATAGGACCAGTAGGACCAAATTCAGCACAGCCAGTGTGACAGAGAGGAAATGTTTTTAGTCACAGTATGCCACCACTTCTTTCAAGGGGTCTTCAAAATGCAAAGCAGAGCCATGTGCACTTTTTTTTTTTTTTTTTTTTTTTTGGTTGTGGGGTTGGGAGGCAGGGAGGATACTGAGGATCTAACCCAGTGTCTCACACATGCTAAGCAAACACTCTATGCCTGAGTATGCCCCCCGTCTCCCAGACACACATCCTTATAGGCATCCAGGGGCAAAAGCACCAAATCTGAGGAATACCAGGACCTTCAAGGTCCACCCCCACTGCATTCCCTAAATTAGATCAGAAAGGGGAAATTTTACAGACACATGTGAGATATTTTTTCTTTTCTTAGAAATATTCACTCTATGCCTCTGTAAATCTTAGAACTGATGAAATGTGTTTATGAGTTTTAATTGAATCCCTCAATGACATCTATCAATTTAGAGATAGGCATCACGTCTGGAAGAAAATAGAGGAATGGAATAGAGAGGATGGTTTTTTTTGTTTTTTTTTTTTAAAGAAAAAGTAAAAGTGAGAGGTCTGAAGCAAAGGCAGCAAAAAGTTTATTAAATCTGTGTGAAGGGCAATACAGGTAGATAATCATGGTATTTGCCAGAATTTTCTGTATATTTAAAATACTTCATTTTTAAAAATCAAATGCACAGCACTACTCCAAAAGCAAGACAATGGGAGAACACGGACACAGACCACCACAGGGCACCACAACCTGGACAGAGAAGCAGCCAGAGAGAGGCCTCCAGTAGCTTGTCTACCAAGGACACGTCTAAGTTGGTTTCATGCCCCTCGTGTTGGTCGCAGAGAAACAGGCATGAGCTGTTGGTGCTTTCTTATAGCAATGCTGCCTCTCACCACAAACAAGATTGAAGTAAGGGTGGAAGAAAATCTGCCCCTCTTGGCTTGGCATACCTGTGTCACTAGCAGATCCTGTGGACAGGGCTGGCATGATGCAGGCTGCAGGTGAGGAAACACCCTCCACACACTCACGCCTCAGAAAGCCACGGGGAGCTCCAGTTCAACCGCCTGCAGCCACGCTGTCGCCCAGGATTTATATGTTGTGTGAGCCCTTTCTAGAAAGAAAAGAAACGTTTAGATATTTAAAAAAAAAAAAAGAATATCATTAAAAGGCAACATTCAAAAACTAATTCTAAATTCTTATTACCACACACTACCAACGAGATCACAAGAATTCTAACAGAATTTCTTCTACAGACAACATGCAGTTATTCAGTGAGAAAGCTTCTGATTCTGATGTGCAATTTCTAATTGAAAACATGAATGCGCTTCACGCATGTACCAAGGCTTCCTTAAAGATTTTTACATTTGGTCTGGGGGCCGCTGATGAGACAGATGGAGAACTTTAAGAAGTTTCTGTAAGTCGATGCCATTCTAAATAAAATTCCTTTCCTCTGTTATCATAATTCAAGCTATAATTCTTAAACGCATAACCAAGACCATATGAATTGTCAGCAACCTATAACTAATTATATTTTTTAAAAAGCTCATTCTAATATGATGACTGCAAAGTTTTCTAACTGAGGTCTTGCAAAGAACCTTGAAAGCCTTTTTTTTTTTGTTACTAAAATTGAAGCAAGAAATTATTATAGATTTCCAAAGTGTTAGTAATTTAAACTAAACTTAATGATCCAAGCTAATAAGTAAATTCTTTTAGTAAAAACTAGGTTTTGATGTATCTTGGAAAATGTCAACTTTTTTTTCCCAATAATTATCCTAAGTTTATCCCAAAATAGGCAGTATAGAGTTTGGTTTAATCTCTAATCCTGCTAGCTCTGTGATTTTGCACAAGTTTTTAATCTTATCAAATAAGCCTTAATTTCCTTACAAATGAGGAATTATCGTCCTCATAGAACTGTTGATAATTGAATATGCTAAGACATACAATTGAATATGCTAAGACATACAACATAGTGTTTCACACACTGTAAACAAACAATAAATGTAATATGTCCACAGCTTTTTTTTAAATTCAGGTAATCTAATTATAAAATTCAAACATAAAAGAAAGTAGCAAGATTAAATTTACACTGACCTAACACCTAGAAGGAGGCCATGTGGTTTAAATTTGGATCACTGCTGCCTAATAACGGAAAATACACTCCATTTACACTTTTGTAGAACTCAGAACTAACTACACAATGCACTTATATTCGTTTTTAAATGCTTTTTCCCTAAATCTCTATAACAAAGTCAGTCATTTGAAAGCATATTTTAACATATACAAGGACAACAGGAAAAACAGACACTGTAAACACTGGGAAAAACTGGCTCACTTTAATTCCTAAAACCTTTTAAAATTGCTGATTCATATTACAGAATAAAGAAAATGAGTTTGCCAAATTTTACTTGAAAAAAATCCAACTGTAAAAATCCCATTAAAGCCTTCCAAATTAACTTTTTAATTGCCAAAGTGAAACTCACTATAAAAAAATTCACCAAATAGTCTTTCTTAGACTAAACTATCTGCTGTGATGTCTTGAAATCTGCTTCATATAACAAAGATTCATGTAGTTAAAACATGCACACAAATTCATACAAAGATGAGTGCTAATTAAAAATATGAGGGCAGTTATTTTAAATACCAAATGAAAATATAAATCACTAAACTAAAAATTTTAAATGAGAGAAAAAAGACAAAGCAAGGTTTCATTAATGCTCAGCTCAGAAGATATTTTCCCAATGATTTTAAAAAGCAACTTTGCTTTGGTTGCATAAATTATTCTAATCAGGACTAAGATTCAACTACATGAAAATATTCCTTATATAAAGCAAGGGTAGAAATGAAATAATTCATACACAAAGCAAGTCCCAAAAAGACTACATATAATTTAAAGAAAGCAATCAATTAATGGACTTTTATTTGCTTAAAGGAAAAAGAAATTTAAAACAGTTAAAATTTGAAAAGCATACGCACATACATTTCTATCATTAGAGCAATATGTATGTATGTACATTGGCAGGCATTTATTATATGTGCATATGTGTCTAATTTAAGCTCTTTATGCCTTGAGAAAAGCCATAATTTGTATGGTATAGATTGCCACTGTGAGTATAGAAATGGGTATATAATATACAATCAATACTATACAACCTACAGTTTTCTTAATGGCCTAAAGAATTTATAATATTTTGCTTTTATAATCCATATATATCATATAAACTAAAGTGCTTTTATCAAATAATTAAAATGTGAACAGTGGGGAACATTTCATTGCATTAACACTAAAGAAAATCTTACAATCCACACCAAAACATCTCTTTGAGCAGATACTGACACATGTGAAAGAACTTAATCTCCCTCATTTTTTTCATAATGAACATTCAGGGTAAATTTTTCCAAATCTGTGTATTTACTACACTTTAATTATCATCTAAGTATATATACTGCCAAGTAATTATCTTCTCAGAACATACATGTAGATTTTTTAAATGGTTTGATAGAATCCTAATCAGCAAAATACTTAACATTTTGTAGAACAGAGTTGCGATTGCCGGGTTTAACTTTCAAATTGAGTTAAATTTTTGTGTAACAATGTTATTTTCTTTGGCTAAATTTATTGAAAATGCTTTGGAATTTGTCAGAACCTAGCCATAATTATTACTGACTGTTGTATGGAATCGATTTACTACAATACAAAAATACCAGCTGTTACAGTATGTCCTGAGAGGGATTACTGAATATTCTTAAATTGAAGTTCAATCCATCATTCCATAAAAAAGAGAAAGACTCAAAGCCAGGAACATAACAGCTGTATCAAGTGCACCTGAAGCATTTACAATACCCAACAGAACTATTACAACCCTCCTTTTAAAAGGCTTATTTTTGAAATTTCATTATTCCAGTTGTACCTTGCCTCTATATATCACACTGTATCAGGTTCTTCTGGCATTGATCACGTGGAAACAGTGAACTATGTGAAGGTCTATGAGCTTTCAATGTTCAAATTTCTACTGTCCCTGGCTAACCCTCAATGCTCCTGTGCCACTCATGACACCTAGTGGCCAACTACAGAAGTGCAGGTATCTGGAGCAGGAAGTGGTTTGCGTTTTCAGTAATTCAAGAATTTATTTCATTCCATCCAGTGACATAGTCATTTGCAATTTTTTCATTAATGTGAACACACACAGTTAATGAATACGAATAATAAATTGAAAAACCTCCAAGCATGTTCCCTCTCAATTGGGGAGGGGGTGTTCAAGAATATGAAAACTTTTAATTAAATGTCATCACAAATAACCTCTTTAAGAATTATATTAAGGGAGGGGAGGGGAGGGGAGGGGGGATAGTAGAGGATAGGAAAGGCAGCAGAATACAACAGACACTAGTATGCAATATGTAAATCAATGGATGTGTAACCGATGTGATTCTGCAATCTGTATACGGGGTAAAAATGGGAGTTCATAACCCATTTGAATCAAAGTGTGAAATATGATATATCAAGAACTATGTAATGTTTTGAACAACCAACAATAAAAATTTTTAAAAAAAGAATTATATTAAGAGGCTATCACTTCACAAGACAACAACAATACTCAGTAATCCAACTGCAGATTTTATCACAAGGTGAAAGTACTCTAGAGTTACATTTTTAAACAGCAATAAAATAACACAACAAAATATAAATCTATTATCACAAATTTTTTCTTGAAAGTTCAATTTGAAAGATTCATTAGCTATATTTTCTAATGCAAGAGCAGACTGACATCTGTTAACTTTACTTGATGCTTCATAAATTCTATCTGTAAGAATATGAAGGAAGCAACATATAACCAAGTGACATAAATCTGCTTACATGAAATGGTATTTATAGCTGATACACTAGTGCTTCTCAAGGTATGGTAGACTCCAAGACTTTCCAGAGGGCTTCTTGAGGTCAAATTATTTCTAGAAATATAGTGAGATGTTATCTGCCTTTTGCACTGTCAATGTGTGCACCAATGGTGAAAAGTGATAGTGGTGAGACCACTGGCACCTCAGCATGAATGAATACAGTGGCACAGAACTGAAGCTATTCATGGTTCACTTCCCAGTACCGGAGGGGTAGCACAGGTGGGAAGGGAAGAGGAAAAGGGTTTGCTGTAGATTATCCTTAATGGAGTAATGAAAATTAAAAATTAATGGACTCTTAACTTCTTTTTAATATTCTCTGTGATGAAATGGAAAGTACACATAAAGTGCTATTGCTGGAAATAAAGCAAAGGCTATCTCAAGAAACATCTGTGTGATGATTTCAGTTGTAAACTAACTAGTCACTTGTTTCATGGGTGCCATTTTTAAAAGATCTAATGAATGCTAAACCTTAGTAATTGGGCATTTGACAGACATTTTCTTGAACATGAATGAAATGATTCTGTAACTTCAAAGAAACTAGCAGTATGTGTTGCTAATGATAAAACGTGAGCTTCCAAGCAAAAATTTTATAAAGCTTGCATCTACCAGAGATGGCCCTCTCTTTGCATGGTATGTACCAAGTTAACCAAAACAAATGCAAAATATAGGTAAATGAGTCTCCACTTTGCCTGGTTCTATCAGTGTTTCAAAATCACAGGCTTTTCTGAGAAAATCAGTGGTGGTAGTAAAACCAATGTGATTTTTTTTTTTTTTTTGGTACTGCGGCAACATTTGGAAGACCTATATAACTCAGTGAACTTATATTTTCCTGTTTTCCAGTAACACATTAGAAAATCATTCATGAATAAATTTATGTAAAGCACAAGATAGATTTAAAGTTCCAACACAATAAGTTTATGGTGTTTTCCAGTTCTACACTGCAGCTTACCGTGCCACATGCCGTTTTTTGGTGTAATAGAAAAATATATCCACAATTGACTGAAGAGGCTACCAAAATGATCCTACAGTTCTGAGTTAGGTTGGCTTTCCTCATATCTTTCAACCAAAACACGTAATACAAATTGAGCATTGACAAATGAGAAAATAACTGTCTCCTGTTAAGCCAGAAATTAAACTTGCAACTCACTAATGTTTTTTTGTTTGTTTGGGGGAAAATAGTTATTTTTTATAAAAATGTTATTTGTGTTAACAAGTAACAAG